GAGGTGGGCCCTGGCGGGTTTCCCTCCGGGGGCTGCTGCTGGGATTCAGCTCGCTGGGGTTTCTGGCAGCGGCGCCTATAAATGCACATCCCGAAGCCAGCGCGCTGCTAGCGGTTCTTTTAAGCAAGGTTTTGGGGATGCGTTGCTCTGGTGGCTGTTGTATAACCATCCCGAGCACGGTGCAACCATGCTGCTGGACCAGTTGCTGCAAACTCGCGGTCCGCCGCGAAGGAGCGGAGCAGGTTAACGAGGTGCATCTCTTCTCTGCCCCAGACTTCCACAGGCATTCGCTTGCCTGTAGTTTGTCTTCAGCGTTATGTGGAAACATGATAAACGAGCGTGGTTGGGCGTGTATTGGGTGTTGTGTCCTTCGTTTTTCTTCAGAAATAAGAAGGATGTTAGCTCGAACTTTGCATGCTTGCTATTACGATAGAAAAAGTATAAGAAAGAATAATTCTCGTAGGACTAAAAATATCCTTATTTCAAAATAGCTTGTGAATATTGATTTCTTCATTGTCTTTTCTTGTTCACAACAAACCCTTTTTTTATCATTTTTTACTGTTTGATTTAATTTTTTAAGAACAAAATCCTAGTGCACCGTGCCTAGAACATGGCTGCTAGATACCTACCGTTAAATTTGAACCACATATCATAATTGTAGATATGGACACCCCGGGAAACATTTCTGCCTGTCAAGGGATAGAATAGATTACAGCACAGCTCTTTTTTTCCCTCCCCCTTTCATTTTGTTTGCTTTTCAAGGGCTTGTCTTCTCTGGGGAAATTTACTGGCATAATTAGCTGTAGCAGTATAATTAAACGGGTAAATTTTCCCTGCTAGACAAAGCTTGAGTCCACATACGAATTCTTTTAGGGTTACTTTCCACATCCTTATTGAACTTCTGAAAACTTTAATGGTTTAAACTATACCACAGAACGTGAACGCCTATTTAGGACTATCTTTTGTGCTAAATCATTAATGCTTTTTGCAAACAGTTATGTTCTGGGGATTGTGAAATGAATGCTAATCCTTTGGCTTCTGGGCTGTACATAGGAAATCATTCTAGGTGCGTTTAGTGAGCCAGTGTCATTGCCATCTACCTGCTCGTCTCTGGCCTGTGTGAAATAAGCTGGTGGCTGCGATCCAACCTCTGGTCGGTCAGCAGGTGTCCACATAACTAATGAGAACTTTTGTTGGCAGACTTAGCAGAGAAAATAATATTGAATTGTGCCTGAGTGACTGAATACTCTTTGACCCAGGATTTAGTCCTGTCAGAGAGGATTAAGCCCTCAGTAGCTTTGTTACTTCTCATGATTTGAGGAGTGGCTCGGGGCTGGCGGGCTGTGGCTCTTGTATTCTGCTTGAGAGACAAGAAATGGAAACGCTGCTTGATAAGGTGAAATAGGAGCCGTGCTCCTTCAGTAGAAAGAAGCAGAGCTGTGTGTGCGGCCGAGGGTGTACTTTGTGTTAGCCGGATGCATGCGGTAACAGACAGGATACTGGCAATGCCAGCACCCTGAGCAGATGTTG